TTTAATAATAATTTTAATAAATAATATATATAAATTTTTTCCTTAAATAATTAGGGTTTTTTTTATTTATATTATGTTTTTATTATTATTATTTTATTTGTATAAATATATTTTATTAAGAGTAAATTTATTCCTCACCCAGGGTAAGATTTGATATTGCTCACTTCTCTATAACAAAATTTAAAAAAATGCCAATATTTCAAAATTTTATTAAAATAACCCTGTTATATAATATAAACAAAATGTTTCTCTCGCAATTTTACCTTAGGCTAATCTAACCCTAACCTTAATTTTAACCCTAATATATTAATATGACTGGGGTTCCCTTTTGTACTTAAGGGGGTGAGTAACTCACCCAGGTAATGAATAAATTATTCTTTTTATTAAATATTTTTTAAAAATAAATTTAATTTATAAATTATAATTTTAAAATTATTAAATTATATTTTTAAAATTTCAGATTATAGTTTTGGGGTTTCAGATTATAGTTTCAGGGTTTTGGGTTTCAGAGTTTCAGGTTTTTTTTAAAAAATCTGAAACTAGTTTTGGATTAGTACTTTTCAAACTAGTTTCAGATAGGTAACATTTCGAGTACTAACTTTAGTGTAAACCAAAAAGTAAACAATTCGGTATTGTGGGGATTCAAGTTGTGGGTGAGGTTATATCTCTAAATATTATAGTAAAAGATGCGAATAGGATTCCAAGATACTTCTATCTTGATCATGTAAAAATTTTTCTAACTATTGACACCCCATAGCGGATAAAGCCTCTCATACATTTATTATTAAGATTTCGTCTAAGTTGCATTGTTTTTATTTTCTTATATAGATTCTTAAGTAATTCTGCCAGTTAATCACGTATGTTTTATAATACAAAATATTATAATTATAAATAAATGTTTATTGATAAAAGTATTAGAACAAGCTTATATATATCTGCCTCGAAATGTCTAACCAAGTACTACTGTATCTTCTCCACGTAGAGAAGGAGGAGAACAAAAAAGAACAAGAAAGTTAAGTGGTGTAAATTCTCCTTTATGTGAAGATAGAAGTTTAAAGAAAAGAAGGTTTTAGAATATATGTATTCTTTCTGTATTAGTATTTTTTATATCAATAAAGTTGGCTCTGGTGGCTCAATTTCATATAAATAATCAGTTTATGTATTTCGTGAATTTATTTTATTTATTGTTATATATTAACTCGCATATGATCGAGAATATAAACATCATGTATCATGGGCTAGATCCCAAATATTTGTATTTATTTTTCACATGTATTAATAAAAATTTTTTCTTAGTATTTTTCTGAGACAGCCTGTTCTGGAATTTTTTTGGTATTTTTTAAAACATTGAACAATTCCTTTTATATATAAAATTATTATTAATCATATTAGTTAACAAAGCTAACCTATCCAAGCTTGAAGTATTGAGACGATGTATCATTGATCTAGAGGCTAAGAATGTTAAGATTATGCTCGAGAAAGCTAAACTTGAAGCTAGAGATGCTGAGCTTAAGGCCAGAATTGAGAAATTAGAAAAAAATAAAGAAGTTACTATTAAACTTGAGTCTGAGAATGCTGAGCTTAAAGCTAGAGTTGCGAAATTGGAGGAGGATTACAGACAAATACAAAATGGTAATGTTATCAAGATAACTAATTCTCTTAACAATTGTTCATCTAACTTAAATTCTGTTACAAAGCAAATATTAGAGATCAAACAGAGTGAGGAAATAAATACTTCACTACCAAAAAAAGCAATATCAGAAGTTTTACTTTCCAGCTCTAAGTCATCAAAGAAAATGAGAGTAGATGCTTTCTTGAACGAAGTACATAAGAAAAAGGTTAGTGATGATATTAGGCAGAGAAATTAGAAAAAAAAACATCAAGCCCAAGAGTCTCTTCCAATACAACCTAAAAAGAAAATATCTCACAACCTTAGCTTGGGTATTCATCTATGCAATAGATCGCACAAGAAAAAAGGAATGAATGAACTCAAGCATGAATTATTCAACCTTCTTTCAGAATCAGATATCTCATCTTCTATAAACCATAATGATAATAATATAACTGAAGTTTTTACATGTAAAAAAGTTATCTATGATGGGATTGATGTAGCTTCGCAACATCTAGCTCAGTTATGTGACAAAGCCATTGATGCTAAAAATAGAACAAATCGAGCTAATCAAGAAGAAATTTTATGTTGGTATCTCTACTGGAAGGATTTTAGAGATCAGCTTGATAAGATTATCAGAAGTAATAGTGAAAAATTTGGTAAAAAGAAGGTGAAAAGCATATTTTATGATTCTATTACAGAATAGCTTGGTTTGCTTTGCAAACAAAAATCGCAAGAATTGAGACTACAACTTAGGGATATATCACAGGATAGCTTGTATAAGAAAACTCAGAGAGCTGAGAAAAACTATAAATTATTCAAAAAGTGAGATTGGATAAGATCAAGTATATTAATTTTTATAGCGCGAATTCTATTTTAGAGCTTACTAATGTACAATTTCAAGAGATTATAGATTATGGTATATTTTTAGAAAAGTTGTCTATAGAAGCAGATCATATGACCAAAATTTCTGAGACGACCCGTCCTGAAAAAATCTTACCCATATCTGAAGAAGATTTATTATCTATACCAACTAAAGCAAAGATCAATATCAACTATGATGATGTATATTTTGATGAAGAATTTAATTATGATTCCACATCTCAGATAGTAAAAGAAATGAATAAAGAGATTGCTTCGCAATCAGTTAAGATAGGTGATGATTCAGATTCCAATGAATCAATAAACTTGAACCACCCAATCCACAATATTCTCTTGCGTAAAGAAATTGTTTGATTAGAGGGAATCTCTAATTCTTCAAGTAATTTAGCACCCACACCTCAAATGACCCTAGCTAAGGCAGATAACTATGATGATATGTACTTTGATAAAGAGGATTTAAAGGAAAAAAAAATAGAAATAAACAAAGTTAAGTCAGATGATGAAAATAATTCAGAAGAAGAGATGCCAGATGAATCAGATAACAATAGATATAGTGGATGTGGTGGATATAATGAATATGGTAAATCTGATAGAGGTTATTATTATGATTTAAGTAACAGAAAAAAACTTATAAAAAT